TAATATTTTATATGCATGATGAACGACGTTCCGGCAAGTCATCCTTGGCTGCATTATCCTCTACTCCACTTCATGCAATTCTCCTCCACTGGGCACGCATGGATCCGTCAAGCACCAACATTTATGAGAGTGTGTATATTAGTTTGTGATGGGTTTGGGTAATGAAGTGAGAGGGAGTATATATAAGAGAGAGACATATAACATACAACGTCTCCGGTCCAATATTATATGCATTTACAGATATAAATATTCGACCATCAGCTAAAGATTCCTATATCAAGTGGCTCTAGTGCTCAAACATAAAGGCAATAATAATGTTATAATGTCAAAAGACTCGGCCTATTACACTGCACAGCCTTTTCACCATCCACTCATAAAATCTTGTACAATTCTCAAAATATATACCACTACTAAAAAAGGTGTGTATTGACTAACTTGACATCAATTTAGTAAAATTGATATAAACTTTTGTTAGTTTACATCACTTAAAAAAATTGATACAAAAATATAAATTCTGCACCAATTAGATAATCGAAATATTTGCTAATGTTTGTTAACATCACTTAAAAAATGATACATGATTTATATCAATAAAAATCGATGCTAATCAATTTTGTATTTAAAGTAATCCATTTGTAACTAACTAACGATCTTGTTGTTTTGTGTTGTTCCACATCGATATTTGATCAAAAGTTCAAGAGAATCTTTTTTTATAAATACGGGAAAGTGCCAAATGGTAAGATTAGTTAGCCAATAAAATTGATTAATTTTTATTTTTCTTTTTTGCATCTTAAAAAGTTATAATTCAAAACTTAACAATGAACGGTAGTTAAATGTTTATTATTACTGAATTTATTCATAAAAATATTTATAGTTTTAAATTAAATATATAACAATCGATAGATAAAATAAACAGCAAATTATAATTATACTATATCATTAACCAATATTATTACATCAGTTATACTAATCGATGTAAATTTTGACATCATTTTTTGTAAATGATACATATTATTATATTAACATCATTTATACTAATTGATACTATTGTTTACAACAATCATTTAAACGGATGCAAATTGTTTGCATCACCATTTTCAAAATCACTTTTTAAAGTGATGTAAAAACTTTTTGCATCAATTATAAGTAATGCAGATATATAAAATAAATGATGTAAAACACTTTTTTTTGTAGTGTACATACATCAATCGTTTCTCTCATGGCTTGATATTGTTATTTGTTACTA